CTACTACTACTACTACTGCTAGTCTTTGTCTTTGTGCTACTGCTACCGGTACTGCTACGCCTGTTTTTTGTGGATGCTAACCACGACAACTAGTTCATTAGAGCTGTGCTGACTGCTGACACAGCGTGCGGCCTCAGGCCCAGCATCGTCCTCAGCGCAGCCGGACGCACGGTCCGCCGCCCAATATGCCACTGTGGAGTCTAGAAACCTAGGGTTTGTAAGGTGGTGTCTGTAGGGCTTAGGGCAGATCTCTGGTTCCGGAGTACGGATGTGTACTTGAGGCATCAGATGGCCTCACGTTTGGGTTTGTCCTTTTTTTGTTTGTCGTCGAGGCTGCATTCGTGTTGCAAAGGCTCGAGTGTTTGTGTGACCACTGCAGTTTAGAAGGGCTGATTGTTCAACGTAGCTGCAGGAAAGGTTCGCAGATCTAGGCAAGTATGGTCCATGTTTGGATGCTTAGAACCATTCTGGGAAAGGGCTTCTCCGACAAGAAGACAAGTCAAATTCCCAGAAGCCCAGGCTCACAGCAGGTGACAACATCAAAGCCATGTAAAACGCCGGACCCTCGCCCGTAGTTAGGAGTATTGGGTTCGCCTGCCGAATGCTCACTGCCAGGAAAGCTACCTCATCTTTCTGCACTGGGCCTTCTTGTCCACGAGCGTAACCATCTGCTCTGGGTCCATGGCGGAAAGGACACATCTGGTGGCAGCTGGGCCAGTACACAGTAATCATCTTCATATACTCATATACTCTTCCAAATTTCCACCTCTGCAGCTCCAGTGTGCCTAGCTCTGAGGTACTTTGGACTCTACGGGGGTTTGATGATTGCACAGGGGTTGAGACTGCCTCACTTCTGGCAGCTCGTTCCCGGAGTGACTAGCGTTTAGTACGAGTGGCTCTTCAGAACAGCGCCAGGTTTAGCGCTGTGGAATTAAGTGGAATTTTGTTTTAGTGGACTTTAGGGTTTTGGGGCTGATGGTGTCCCTGCAGTGAGACGGTACTGTTTCCTGTTAATTAGTGAAAACAAACCGCATCCAGTCGTGCCGCAGGAGACAAAGGAAGCAGCTGTTTCGATCGAGCCCTACATATACTGTCCAATGTAGCCTTTCCTTGTTGAACAAGTTTATTGCCTAGGATCACAACAACGCAACAAGGTAGCCAAACGAGAGGCCACATGGGAGACTGGAGGTAAACGGTGGCCCCAAACCCTAGACGTATGGACCAAGGCCTATCTTTGCTATGCAGTGCCTTGGCTCGGTATGGCCATGAAGGGGCCTGGAGTCCTGATGTGTGCGACAGGTACAGGGTGCAGTGCGTGGGTTCCGGAAGTTGCCGCAGTTTCATTCGGAGAAAAGCACGATTGCATCGGAGACTTCCTTCCTTCCATGCATGCAGCGGCATGCAGCAACCAATCGCCCACAACCCTAAAGCCTCGTACACATAGCTGCGCCACGAGACCCTAAATCCGAAGCCCTTTCACACTCGAAGCTGTCGCCGCGAGAGAACCTTAGGTAGTCATGTCCGGTTTCGCGTATCCGATCTTGGCCGAGAGTGTCTGGGGCGCTCCAGCTGCAAATTCCTACTCCTTTAATCCAGAAGGATTTAGGGTGTAGTATAAGGGTTTCTAATGGTTTCCACATGAACTACCACAAGTTTCATGTCACAACTAGAAAGGGCTTCTGTAGGGGTTCTTCAAAAGGGTTCTGTTAAGCTTGGCATAGAGTATTGGGGTTGATTATAGTGTGTACATTTGTTTTTATGCACTTCTGTATAGAATTGAAAGAGGATACCATTGCATCCGTTGGGGTTGGGTTGTACTCACCAATCCGGATGCGTGTCAACAAACAGCCTACCAGGATTCCCAAGCCCAGCTGAGCCACGCGATACGGGGCGGCCGATATTTACAAGAGGTGGCCGACGTCTACTCCACCATAAGTGCATGGAGAGTCCGAGAGAATACCGGCTTGAAACCTTCTTCCAAACCACAGAACACGTCGCATCCATCACGGACGGCCGCAGAAGCCTTCTGGGTGAACCCAACTCAGTGCCCTGATCTGTCCTTTACCTTAAGCCTTAAGGGTCTGCGAGGCCACAGTATATTTTTTGGGCATGCGGACGGATAGGGGAAGCTTGCGGGCATTCAGACTTTAATCTAGATGGCAGGGGTGGTACACCCGAAGGAGCACTCAGGCAAGAAAGAGGGTTTCAGTACGACCCAGGGCTTGAGCGACAGATGCCTACGACCCAAAGACGGGAAAAGAGTGCTTTTCCGGTTCTTGAGACGAGACTGAAAGGGTGTGTATACTAGACCCAGCTTTGTGCTCTTGAGGGGCTGCCGTCATGGATGTAGTATGTGCTGCTTGGTTGCTTTTGTTCGTGGTATTCTGTACTTCATACGACAGCCCTTGGCAGTTGAGTCGGGGTTCTCCCTTCAAGCTGTTACAGGGGCCTACATGCTTCCCAATACTACTTTGGGGGGTTCCTTGTTATAGTTGTAGTAGAACATACCCTTAAAACCTTGTTCTGGCTATGAATTCCCCTATAGTATTCGCTGTGCCTGGATGATTCGCTTTTTTGTAATTGCTACTGGACGAGGGTTTAGAGTTTAGGTGTTCATGCAGTGCCAGGGCCCCCTCAAACTCCAGTCCAATCGTTGAGGCCAGTGCGACAGTAGCTCACAGGGGTTTGTCGTAAATTGCGTATGTTTACGGGAATACTACATTCCAGAGCTTTATTTCTCGTTGGCCTGTGCCTCGGTATGTTCAACCAAAACAGAGCTCGGGGCAGTAATCGTCCCCCTGACCATGACGTCTGCCCCACGATTCTCGCTTGAGGGTGAGCGCCTAAACCCCAAACCCTAAACCCTAAACCCTGAAAAAGGGGCGCATCGCACTTAAAAAAAATAAAACCTAAAAGGTGAACTCCGTGCGTCAGTCCTCTGAGGTCGTGGTGACAGTGTCCTCGGCAGCAACTTCCGCGACAGTGCTGCAGGCCTCGCCAGGTCTGGATGTGGTATTCTGATGATTGGTCCAAACTCTGGCGGCACAGCGCTGACCCAACCCACGGAACATTTCCGATCTTTTTTGTGATTATTGCAGCATTATGATCCTAAAACTCTAAGGGGCTCTGAACACAAATCCAGCTCCGGAACCGCTCTCGCAAGGCCATAGCTACTATGACTATGCGGGAGGAGGAGTGGTCCACTTGGCGGGCGGTGTCGCCGCCCTGGTCCGTGCCCTAAGGGCTTTGTGTATAGTCTCTGGCGATGTGAGAATTGAAAAGTGTTTTCGGGTCGGGGGTCCTCCAGAGTTTAGCATGTTTTGATTGATTTTGCACCCCCCCTTTGTTGCATCCCCGTAAACGTCTAACTAACCACGTCATGCCACTGTGGCGACAACGAAAGGTCTGCTGCTGCTGCTTTTTTGATCCTGAACTGCTGTGTGATGCAGAGCTTACATTGGCACGTTCCATGGGAGCGCGGCTGGCAAACGTTGGAAGCCACGAAACTATAAGGTCCATGTACATATGCGATGTTGGGTCTTCCCAGCCGTGCGTTCGATAAGACCTTAGCCCAAGAATTAGACTCAATACACCTGAATCCATGCCCTCCACATCCCGAAACATTTCTGCTTGAAGATGCGGCTAAGGTTGGTAATCTCATGGTTGGGCGACGCATCCTGCGCCCACCAGTCAAGGACGCCCTGGTCACCGGTTAAGGGCTTCGGGTTAGGTCTTTCGTATCCCCAATATGAGTACATAGGAATCCTGTGGTGCAACAGGTGTCTCGCCGAATCAGTGTATTGCTTTTTCAAGTTTTGCTATGAGTAATTGGTAGTATGACTATTCCGAGGATGTGCTGCTTTTCAATCCTTTGTTGATAGGCCTGGGGCGGCTCGAAGATCCTGGGTCAGAGCAAGCCCCTGCTTGAAGATGCCGGCTCCGCCCCCAAACCAGAAGCCATGAACCCCCCCAAGCATCTCAAAGCTCTTGCAGTCTGTTCTGCAAGAGCTTTCAAGGGCCTAGATTGTAAGGGTCTGTGTCTTCGAAGAATGTAGACTGAAATTGACGCGGTTGCACGGACGGGTCCTTGCTGTCTTTCTGTGCGAATCGCCAGGCGATGAACTGCACAAGCCCCGATGCCAAACTCCTAAACCGCGCCCCCAAAACCCCCGAACCCTCAAACTAACGTTTTGGGAACCATCGAGAAGCACCCTAGAAGAATCCGCATAGAGTCTAAAGCAGCCAAAAGCCCAAAAAAACAAAGTTCCCAAGCCGAGTTCGCACGAGAGGACTTCTTGCCAAAGACCACGGAGTCAGCAGAGAGTAGCAACTCAGGCTGCTGCGTTTTCGGGGTTGGTACATTCGGGCCGAGAAAGGGGTCTAGGATCCTAGAAGCGATTTCGGCTCTGCGATAAGGGTTAGTTGCTATAAGAAGAATGATTCGTACTTGTACCGACCCCTGTAGTGCCTAACCTGAAGGGACCTTGCGCCAAGGATCTCAGTGTTTAGGGAACTTCTAATTTACTGGATCTAACTAGTCGGGGCCGTCGTAAGGCTCCTATTCTGATGGGGTCCTTCTATGTTAAAAGGGTCATCAGAATGAAGGATCCATCCCATCATGCATTTGCTGCTCATGGCTAGGGTTCCTTCTTTGGAGCCTCTCAAATTTCACGGTTCGGATCCTGAAAAAGCAAAGTGGCCAACAAAAAAAGAAGTGCAATGGAGACTAAAGGGAGGACGGCCCATTACATTCTGGGGCTCCAAATTGTCACAATCGGATGTCAGGGTCTCGACGGTTGGCATCGTGCTTACAGGTGTTCCAGGCGGAGGCGTAGGGCCCAGGGTTTTCCGGATTTTGGGGGGGGATGTGCGAGTGCAATCTCAGTCTCAACCCTGGAGGAGTGTCCCTGAAACACCCTTCTAACTCATTAAGCCCCATTCTGATATTCAGGCCCCTTTACTACGGTTTCCGTGGCAGCTTTCCCTACCCTACTCTACATCACGGTCTAGGGAGTTTATGAGCCTCAAAACCCTCTATCAACGAAGTGGATGGGAACAACAAGCCCTAGATGGCGCTAAACCCTCAAGATATTGAAATCCTAACATCCCTCACTACCCTAAAACTCCCAGAAGTCCAGAAACTCTAGAGCCTGCAAACAACTTAGAACTCTTTTGGCAACTGTTACAACACTTTAGAAGCGACCCTCGAACATCTCAAACCCCAAACTTGTAAGGCCACTGCAAGACCCGGAAAGGAACCCTCTCATTTCAAGGCTTTCTAACTTGGGTCTAGGGTGTAGGGAGCATCCAAACCCCGAAACTCTAAGCCCTAAACCATCATAAACCCACAGTAGCCTCCAAGGGCTCGGCAAACAAGAACCCTTGCAGGAACCCTAAACCCCCTAAATGGCCCCTAAACCCCCTAAGCCCTAAACCTTAAACCCTAAACCCTTGCTTTTGCGAGAGTGAGAGTCGACACTCCAACAAGCCCTTCAAGACTAAACCCTGGAGCATCCTTATTAAAGGACCTCGCAACGAAAACCTCCAAAAAGAATCCTTGAAGGGGCCGTTGAAAGGAACTTTTGAGAGGAATCCGAAACGGCGGCTTTTCAGGAACTCTCGAAGGACCCTTCGAGGAACCCGTAAAAGGAATCTCTCAAACCATTCTAAACCCTAAACCCTGAAATTTTAACGGCTTCAATGTGCATGAGCATGGCGAAACATCCTCCTTCAAGCACTCGCACTCATATCCGCTAGCCCACGTTGGGTAACACCAATGACTTGGTTCCGCTACCCGTAGGCTACGGGTAGCTAAGCCAAGTTTGCACTTTGAAGTTAGCCTCGCAGGCGACTGGGACTGCAGACTTCTCTGTCGCAGTTGCCCCAGCTCGAGGGCTACAGTGATTATGCTCAGCTTGCTGCTATCCAACTAGTTGACTTTAGCCTCCGTTTGGGGCTTGGCACCCCGAAACCCCATAACCTTAAAGGGTTATTGCTTGATGAACCACGCCTTAGCTAGCACTGTTGTATTATACTTGTCTTTCTGATCACGTGGTTGTCAAGCATTCTGCGTGAAATCTCGTCATGTGGAGACTGAACTATGCGGAGCCTTGCCGGCCTTGTGCGAGTGTGAGAGTCGAAAGGAACCCTTAAAGGAAGGAGTTTTGACAACTTAGTCTTTCCAGTCCACTTCCGCAGGCCCCGAGGAGAAGAACCGAGTGGGGGACAGGGCCCGGGACCCCAACGTGGTTTTGCAAGGGTTTGAGGGGTGGGGCTTTGGGCATCTCACATTTTCCCTTAGCTGGCTCAGGAAGATCTTATTTACGAATATTTTTTCAACGGCTTTCAAGGGCCAACCTAGGTTTATGTAAGGCGGCTTAGGATGTAAGGTTTAGGATTCTCGCGAGGGTCTTGTAGGGTTCAGGGTTTCGAGCTTGGGCTGATTGAAAGCTCCCTGATGCTCTACTGGGCTATTAGTGTGGGTGTTGTTCTGGGAATACGGGTAACATACATTCCACCTCAATTGAAAGTTTTCGGCCTCGTAAATCGACTGAGTGAACCATGAGAGCACCGTGAAGTTTTGGCCTTCGGGTTGGGGCAGCGGTTCGGGTTCTTGCTTGCGGATAAGGGTTGTTAGGATATCGGGTTAAAGGTTCGGTGGACGAGGATGGGTTGGGAACATGCCTCATGCTGGTTCTGGTTTCGCACAAGGCCCACTACGTCCTGACTCCCTCGCCCTGAATCCGCCTACCCCAATACCACTGCTGGGCCCCCGGCATCACACCGCTTCCCTGAAACTACATAGATCCAAGCATAAAGCCCCAAAAGTTCCTGCACCTGCCAGAGCGACTAGCCTTAGGGTTTGGGTCGCTGAACCCCTCGACTTGCTCTGATGGATTATGTAATCAACCTGACCTGGACTCGTACTTGTAGTTACAATTAGGACAATATTCACCTATTTCACATTCTACTTACAACGGCGCCCCTTTCTATGGCGCACTTGTTCAGGAGCTTCTGACAGAGACGTGGCACAGGAGGTTTGACAACCCCGAGGACAGGGAAGACTGCGACTCTGCGGGGTGAAAGGCATGACAATGATTTAGCTGTAGAATAGAGTATAGTATAGTATATAGTACAGTATGTGTATATATATATATAGATAGTAAAGTATAGTATGTATATATATATATAGTATAGTAGAGCATAGTATAGTATAACATCTTGTTTGGATACCCTTAAAGCCACGAAACAGGAGTAGTTACCCGATGCGAGAACGAGAACGTTCTCCCCACTAGGTCTCTTTGTTAGGTCATTTTTGGTCTATGCGGCACAGGTTCGAAGATGTTGTGGAAGAGGATGTTTTCGCGTTTTTGTCGTCTTGTATCCCTAGACGCACGCCGATCAGCATTTGAGACGTTTTGCCTTCAAATCCTCTGACCGAAATCCGGCTTAGCAGTGGGTTCTTTAATCGCGGTGCACTGAATGAAGGGACTGGTTTAACATGCAGCACCATGGCCTCAAGTAGGCTTTACAGCACTTTTCGGTTTTGGATTTGTGCATCATTCTTCGGCGCTTACGAGAGAAAGCCTTCGAGAGAGAGCCATGAAGTCTTTCGCAGGTAAACAGATAGATCGTTAGATAGCCTGTCAGATAGAGACATATATAAATTTTTGATCCGGGGAGATTACGCACGGACAGAGTTGTGCAAAAACAAGAAAACTGCAGTGTACAGATAGGCTGTCAGGATCCCGGGTCACTGTAGCACAAGGGCACATGCTTTGCACTCCGCAAGGTGGTGTCATCCGTTAACATAGGGGCCTTCATAATTAGCATAGGGTTTTGGGGTGTACTCTACCATTGCTGCCGTAAGGAGCCCCCAAAATAGTATAGGTACACCAGAGCGTACTGGAATCCCGGGTCTTGTGGTCCTGGATTCATGAAAATTCGAATCAGCCTTGATACTTAGCATAGAGTTTCGAATTTGGGCTTAGCTATGGCTAGATTATACTGTAGCTATATCAGGGGCCAAGAGGGCATGCTATGATTACTTCTTCCGGCCCCTGGCAAGTAGCGTGTTGTGCTTGAGTCTGCATGGAGTAGACCAAAGCCCGATAGAGGCCCGACCTGATCCTTGTGTGAGCTTCAGAATTCTGAGCCAAGGGACTCACAGGATTTAGGGTTTAGGGTGAAAGGATTCAGGGCCTGGTTTAGGCTTTAACATAAAGTTCATAAATTGAAAGCCCCAAGCTTGAGCATCGAAACCATAAGATCCAACCAGCAGCACGCAGATGCCTCCAGCAGCTGTTTGAAGGATGATGAGAAGGAGTTCCGCGCGAACAGCTACCTCCAGGCTGTTGCGAGGGGCTTCACTGTGGCAGTAGCAATGTTTGAGATTCAAAGACAAGGACCCCACACTAAGGAAGCCTGACGCGGGCGGCATCCTTGCCAGAAGGACTGTCTCTGCCGCAAGCACCGAAATAACACAAAACCTATACCCCATATTATATGCCCAGAACCGCAAACCCCACACGTCAGACAGCAGATCGCGAAGGGAGCACACCTCCGGGCCCCAAAGTCTTATGCAACAAACCTAAAAACAGCAGCAGAATGAGAACATGGAACATGAGCAACACAGCCACTCTCATGTGTGCAAACTGGCGTATACTGCAGCATGCAGGGGTCCACGCTTTACTTTGCAAATCGGGAATACTGCGACGATCATGCTCAAATTGGCGGGGGACCTGGCAAATGACGATCTGTTCCGAAAACCCGAACCCTAAACCCTACACCCAAAACCCCAAAACCCTAAACCCTAGCCCCGAGTCACCGCCGAACTCTTGCAAAGACAAAAATCTCCGGCTCAGGTGATGATGCTGTGCCGACCTTAACAGCTACGCTGAACCGCCTCCACATTTAGGCCCTGGCCCTCTCCCCCCCTGTTGGCCCCTCTCTGTCTGAGGGCCCGTGTGGATCGATGTCGTCACCTCGTCTCCGGTTTCTTAGTCGTGTAGGTCCCTAACCCTGTGGGTCTAGAAACCACTAACCCCGCGCCTTCGGCCATGGAATCGCTGCTAGCAAGCTGCATGTGTACTGGACGCACCCAGAAACGACTGACTGAGATCGCCGCTGTCTGAAGGGAGCAATGGACACAAAGGGCCCCAATCCAAAGGCACGTGGGGCGACGTGTTACGTGGCTGTGTGGAGCCGTGATTTTCGCGTGGATGCCGGTCCCAGGGCACAGATGAGACCCTTGGATGATGCACTGACTCTGCAAAGTCAAGCTACCATGACTGCATGGTGGGAACTCCTGCGGAGCGAGGGTGTGGCAAGCTGGAATTCGCTGTGACGTGCATACAATGGGGCTGGAAATTGCTGCGTGGACGATTCGTGGCGGATACAAGTATCTGCATACAATTGGAGGGACGCCACAAGCAACACCGTGACAGGGTTGGACGTGTGGAGGAGCTCTTCCGTGCAATGCCGTGGGAGCATGTTGATGATGATTATGGAGAGAACTGCATTGAAGGACGAGCTGGACACTGAGCATGAATTTACAACTGCATGATGCATGTGCTGGGAATTCTGAATCAACTGCATGTGGGAAAGAACAACGAGGGAGTGGAATTCGTGGATTTGGGTTCTGCCCTGCTGCCTGCATGACGCCTGGATGCCGTGATGGTTATGAGAAAGATGACAGCAAGTGAAGGAGATGTGAATGCCTGAAACGCATACGCCACCAGTGTACATATTGTGAGCTGACGTTGTGAACCCTTCGCCCTGCTTGAGTTCCGCCTGTGACTGAGGTAGATCTGGAAGTGCCTGTAAGTTGAAGCTCCGGTAGTCGTTAATGCAGTGGAGGGATGGTGATA